AACCCATGTGTTGATTCTGTCAGGTATTTTGATCACAGTGTTAAGAAAAACTACCAATATAAGAAAGCCAAGGGTCGAGGAGATGGCTCCATTGGCAAAGGTATTGAGATATAAGCATGAGGACCTGAGTTTGCATCTCCAAACCTGATGTAGAAATCAGGTGCAATGGTGCATGCTGGGTAGTCCAGCACTGGGCAGATGGAGCTAGGAGGGTTCCTGGAGCTCCAGTGTGGGCCAGCCATTCTCATAGAATTGGTGATCTCCAGTATCACTGAGAGACCCTGTCTCATCAGGTGGAAAGCCATGAAGGAAGACACCCAAAGTCAGCTTCTGGCCTCCACATGCCCAGGTGTGTGCACTTGAGAGCCCCCCCCCCAAAAAAAAAAACCATATGAAAGAAAGAGGCCAAGGCCTCAGAAGCAGAGTGAGAGCAGAAATGTGGCTTGGCTTCTACTCATGTATTTCTTCGGTGCCTTATTGGTGAGTCAGAAACTCCTGAGTGAGAAAGTTTGTTGAAATTCTTTCCCTTTTCCCTTTCTGCTGTGCATGTGTAGATTTGGGAGAAAAGAAGCAAGACAGCTGACTTTCTCTGTTGAAAGAGAGCTCCTGAGAGCCTCTCCTGATGGAGGTGTACTACCAACACCCCTCACCTCCCCTGATGGAGGTGCACTCACTATCAACACCCCTCACCTCTCCTGGTGGAGGTGCACTCACTACCAACACCCCTCACCTCTCCTGATGGAGGTGCACTCACTACCAACACCCCTCACCTCTCCTAATGGAGGTGCACTCACTACCAACACCCCTCACCTCTCCTGATGGAGGTACACTCACTATCAACATCCCTCACCTCTCCTAATGGAGGTGCTTGGACAGAGGCAGGAAAACTCACTGTAGACTTCAGGGTGTAGAATAGGACTAGGTAATCTGGTCCAGTTTAAGTCTGAGTAAAAATACAGAGGAGGGAGGGAGGAGGAAGGGAGGTGGGAGGAAAGGGGGAAGAAAAAGAGAGATACTTGACATAGTTTCAGATATGATGGGTGCAGAAAAATAACGCACAGTTTATTTACAATATGGAAGAATCAATTAAGTAACTGTAACAACTGGGTAGAAACTGTGACCAAAGTACTATGTCACCATTCATGCTGTGCAAAACTTGACGACAGGTACCTGAATAAGAGAGAGAAAAAAGACCAAGTTATGAAAGAAACAAAGGGGACAAACCAGATCGAGAGCAGAAGGGACATGGAGGCCCACGGTCACAAACAAAGGCTGAACAGAGAGAAGCTTATTTATAATTTTTGTTTATTCAATTGAGCTTGATTACTAAGATTTACAGTTTTCATTGAAAAACAAAAACAAAAACAAAAACCCACCTTTGAATACTGCCCAGATTCTACTGGTAATGTTATATAGCACACCATATATTTATTTGTTGTTTTCTAAAACAGGAACCAGTTTGAGTTCCAACAGTAATAATTTGGGCCAGTAAAAATTTGGAGGAAATGATATAAATAAAGGATACAAAGAGATTATAAACATTAGAATAATTAACAGAATGGAAAAGGATCCATTATTAAAATAATTGATGGTTCTAAAAGGAGGAAACAAAGGACATACAAATGTATTCAAAGATCTAATATAAGAGAATGTCCTCGAGGTGAAGGAAACCCCCACCCCTGACAGCATAATATAGCAAAAAAAAATTATGTGAAATGTTTTTCAAAAGTTCCGAGTCTCATAGATAAAAGAATTATTTAACCATCCAGGCCAAAAAAAAAAAGTAATTTATAAAGTGGAGAGGAAGGAGTTAGCTCCATACTTCACCATAGCAATATGATGACAGAAAATGCCAGAGAGATATCCACAGAGACCTGATGGGGACTGACTATGGTCTAAGTACAGCAGAGCCTGCGAAGACCAGTTGAGTGGAAATGGGACAGACTGACAGCTTCACGTGTAAATTCAAGCAGAGACACAGCTCACCTGAAAACAGCCTCACACTTTTCTGGACCACCCCAGAAATTAATTAAAAGCTTAGGCTCAACCAGAACTCACGGATAGAGTCACTGTGGTATGCGCAATGGGCCATTCCAGGTCGCCTCGTCTACTTACTTACAGAACTGAACACACAGTAGCTCTGTCTTTCCAAGCAATGAAAAGACCATGGAATGCTGGATTCCAGTGTCCTCCTGTCTTACAAGTGGGTGATATCTAGTATTTCACCTTTATATTTTAAAAATATTCTTTCAGGGGCCGGGGAGATGGCCCAGCCAGTGAACAGCTTGCTGTGGGTTGGGTTCCTCTGGCACCCATGTGAAAAAGCACTGTGTGTGATTTTAACTCCAGTGCTAGGGAAGGAAGGACAAGGAGGATCCCCAAACCTTGCTGGGCAGCCAGTCCGGCTGAATTACCAGTTTCAGGCTCAGCAAGACATCCTGTCTCAAAAAACATGATGGGGAGTGTCCACACATCTCTACCCCTGCCCTACTCCCACACAATTATTCATGACTAATCTTTTATTGTCCTTTGCAGTCACCATGTAGAGATTCTGACAAAACATTTTTTTTTTTTCTTGGCTCATCTTTGCACATTGTGTCTTGGTAAATTGAACTTCCTCCCTCCTGAAGTAAGTACATCCTTTGGCAGTTACTCTGGAGAGGCGAGGGCGTGTCCTGTTTGGTTCTGTTTGGAAAGTCTGTATTTTTGCCTTCATTTTGGGGAGTTAATTTCATGGGGCCCACAGGTACCTTAGTACTTTTAAAACAGGATTTTCTTAGCATTAGGTCTTGAGGGAAGTAGTCGAGGCGGCTCTGCCCACACTTACTGTTGTTCACCTGCAGGTAATGCCAATTTCCTCTTTGGATGCTTGAGGGGATCCCCCTTCAGGATGATTTCTTCTATACACAGGAAGTTTCTCCCTTTCCCACTTCTCTTGTCTGCTCTTTTTCTCCCCTCCCCTCCCCTTCTCTCCCCTCCCCTTCTCTCCCCTCCCTTCCATTTATCTTGTCCTCTCTCTCTTTCCTTATCCTTTCCAGTTTCCATGTTTCTTCCCCACACCAGCTTTTTGCTTTTCTTTTTTCCTGTACTGCCTCAAGTGAACTTTAGAGTATATACTATTTAAAATCAAAATCAAGGAAATTTTAATTTAATTGGAGTTTCATTTAGCATAGAAATTAATTTCAAATAAATTGATATCTTTAGAATATTTAATATTCAAATTCAGTTAATACTACCTGTACCCATTTTCACATGTCTTCCCATTTATGTTTATTGATGTACCTAATTACCTTGAATAATATTTGTGGAATGTTTCTGTTTTGAATAAATTATTTCCCTTTAAATTTGGATATTGCAACATTACTGAAATCATATTTTTATATTTTTTTCTGTTTGGATAGGTGAGAATCTCTCCATATATTAAAAAAAGTTGAACAGTATCTACAGAAATAATAAGCAATTGGATTTCTTACATTCTACCAGAAAAAGTTTTATTTTATTAGACATAATTGCATGACCAAACAGTACATTTTATTTTTAAATAGGCAAGGAAAGAAAAGTAGTAACTGAATATGATTAAGGGGAGAAAATTAATGTATTTAATTTCCTGCCTAAAAGTTAGATTTGACTATAGAAATTTCTTGCAATAATTATTGAATCAAGTTTAAATGGAAAAATAATTGCATAGTATTCCTGAATGTGTTCAATTAGATTTCAAATGATTATCTATCTATCTATCTATCTATCTATCTATCTATCTATCCATCTATCTGATACTTTTAGATACTGAAAACTTCCCAAGTAGAGGAAGTGGAAATCATGTGTGAGATATTATCAAATATACCCGATTATATGAGTACACCTAAACCAATATGAGTGAAATCATACTCAAAACAAAAAAAATTGATAATAGAAAGTAAATAATAAATTTGTACTGTAGAAATACATGAAAAAGCTTAAGTACCTGCTGGGTTTTGTAAAAATCAAAGCATATCAGACCAATTTACTTCTTTTTATGATAGTCCACAATGATAAGAAACATTGGAAAAGCACAGTCTATCCTAATTTCAGCAAATGCTTTTGTTTTATTGCATATAATGTATTATCTAAAAGGTAAGAAAATATGGTGTGGTATACAGTTCCCAATGGCTGCTTATTAAACAGTTTCAGCTGGACACATTAACAGGCATAGGGACATTAAAGGAGTCTTCTGAAGTCAATAAATTGATATAAAGCCTGAATAAAAGATTTATTATGCCACTAATGCACCTACTTGCTGCTGTCTGGGGCTCAATAATTTTCAAATCAGTCTTGATATATTTGATGAAATGATTATAAAACATTAACACTGGTGGAGAAGACTATAAGATGTGAGTAATACTTTGCAACCAGCAACAGGGCATGGAAAGACTAAATTGGTGAAATTTTAAAAACATTCCCAGCTATTTTATGGGATGGACATTGAGTTAAGCTATAACTATTTGTTAAAAGAGAGGGGGAAGGAAGGAAGGAAGGGAGGGAGAGAGGGAGGGAGGAAGGAAGGAAGGAAGGAAGGAAGAAGAGAGGACAGGCAAACACGAAATTTAGTTTTTATGTATATGTCACGCAAGGCAGAAAACTGTCAGTGGTTCTACCCAGTTCTAACCATGTTGTTGATTAACATATCAACATTTCACAGGCTAAATCTGGCCCTTGTCCTAAGTTTAAACACCCATGATTTCTACATTTTAGTTAAGTATTCAACCACTCACCTATATGCCCAATCCCGACTTTTACATTTTTAAATTATCACAAATACAAATTGTATGACAGAAAAGATTATATGAGATTCACCTTTGGTGGCCATAATGAATTCTTATGAGAACAGAAACTCAGCTAGCCCGTTCTGATGTGTTCTCATTTGTGGCTACTTTAACATCTTGGAACCACAGTGTAGATTAGGCTAAAACCATACTATTCGTGAAGTCTAAAATGATTGCTGTTTGGTCCTTTGGGGGAGAAACATCTCCTGACTCTTGACCTTTCTGATTACAGTCATTTGCACAGTGCATTAAGTTTACCTCCAGCATCTAGAAGTTTTCCTTGTTGTAATAGAAATGAACACCCCTAGGGTCCGCTGATGAGTACAAACGGCACATCTTTCGCAGAGTCTTTGACATGGCTTTGGGTCCACAGAAGAACACACCAATGCTGCTGCTGCAGGGGCGGTAAGAAAAGGAGAGAGTGTTACCTGGGCAAGGCCAGCAGGAAGCCATGACAGGCCCAGGCAATTAGGAAGCAGCATGGTGGCAAGGTTATTTATTTATTTTCTTGTCTGTACCAACTTCCTTTTTTCTTAACATCCTTTCTGCTTCCAGTACATTGCTCCCATCAAGATTTCCAGAGCTTTTTGATTCCCAGAATCACAGGAGCCAGGGACTCAAGAGGCCAGAGGCCGGAGGGGGCTGTGATAATAGTACAGGGGTTTGTGATACAGTGGGTTTTGGTCAGGTGAGCTTGATCAACATTTTTCTTGGATCTGTGGATAAAATGTACATTCTAGGATCAGGACTTTTGACCAGTGTCCTTATCCTAGGACCTGGCTTAAGTAGACAAAGACTATACATTTGCTGAAGGAATGAACAAATGGTCATGTTGATTATTGCCTGCATGGTCTTGGGCAGGGCTGGAGGCCTTGTATATATATAATCTAAAGATAACAATTACATTGTGTGTTTTAAAGAGAGCAAAATAAGACAGTGTATTCAAAAAGTTTTTAAAAGGGTTAGTTATGACTAACGTCTTGTTCAACATTGCCATTTTTATAGATAATAAAATTTATATTAAAGCCATAACAACTTGATTTATTTATCCTACTAGAATTCAATTTGGACTTAAACGAAGAGAATGGAAGGGACAAAGCGTTGCTGAAGATGCAGTTTCCCAGACATTGTCATCTCTGACCCTTGCACTTCAGAAAATAGTGGAGAGGACATAGCTTTGCATCACATCACAAGAGTGCTCCTGTCCCTTGGGACTCCGCTCCTGTATCAACAGGGCACTGGTTCAGGGGTTCATATTGTCTCCTGAAGTCAGGACACACCGACCTCTATTGGAAAGTACAAAGGCCACAGCTCTCCTCCCTTGTATTCAATATTATTGTGCCCTGTGGCATCTTCTCTTCCTAGTCTCCAGTATATGCTGAAGTAGTTACTCAAGTCCAGATCAGAAGTACCTGTATTACTGAGTATAAAATTGTTAGGCAGACTGTTAAATTGCAGATTCTTTGGCTGGGATCCATGAAGAGTGTGTTTGGTGTGAAGCCAGGTAATATTGAGGCAGATGGCCCTGTAAGCCGTACTGCCTCAGAGAAATTCTTCAGATCCAGGGCCAGCCCACTCTACTGCCTCTGTTCCTTCCACCTGGCTTTTGTTAGTGTTTGTATAGCCCTTCTCTGCTTCGATTATACAGTGGCATGATTCTCTACCATATATCAGAGCCCTGTTTTAACAACATGCTCCAGGATCATGATGCCCATGGTAGAAGGTGATGGTTTAATCACGTTTCAAGCTACCTTCAAAGGAATTCACCAAATGGTTTCATTTACAAATAAGAATATCTCCAAAATGTCTAAGTGCTACTTTCATAGATATCCTTTCTATGACTTAATTTATGAAATTTTTTTTCAAAAGATGTTTTGTACTAAATAATTTGACTTGAGGCAATTTACAGGTGTTTATGGAACTAGAAGGTGAATGGTTTAAGGAGGTTGATGATGTGGAATGTCTTTCTGTATGCTGTGAATATGTGTTACTCCCATTGGCTAATAAATAAAGCTGCATTGGCCTACGGCAGGGCAGGATGGAGCCACGTGGGAAAATCCAAGAAAGAAAGTAAAATGAGAAAGGGGAGTGGGGAGAGACACCCAACCACCGTCCAAAGATCAACATGTAATGGGATACAGGTAAAGCCATGGAGCACATGGCAAAACATAGATTAATAGAAATGGGTTAAGTTATAAGAGCTATCTAGCAAGAAGCCTGACCCACAGGCCATACAGTTTGTAAGTAATATAAGCCTCTGTGTGTTTACTTGGGACCAAGTGGCTGTGGTACTTGAGTTGGAGAGATTTGTCCTGACTGCTGGTCCGGCAGAACCAGAGAAACTTCAGGCTACAGGTTGATGTCTCCATCATTTGGCTACTGCAAGCATTGGGCACATAATTATTTCCCCAAAGCCTTATTACTTCATATATATAGTCAGGAGCATTTGAGACCTTTCCTCTCAGGATTTCCTCTGCACTCTCAGCTTCTCTCTGAGGATGAAAGGAGGCATAGCAAGCCTGCCTTGGCCCTGTTCTTAGTCCGTGGTGGTTTCTGTAGCTGTTAGTTCTCGGATACCAGTATCACACGTGTCTGCAGGGCTTCTCCTGCTCCACAGAGTTGAACAGAAGATGGGAAGTGGGGTGTCAATGAAGGGGATTGGTCTTTTGAGCTCTGGACAGAAACATCTGAGTGAAAAAGGTCAGGCAAGGCCCTTCCTGATGAGGAGTCATAGCTTTGCTTTGGGCATGATGTGCAGAGGTATCCTTACATTCATTTTCAAAGGTGCTGTTATGGGTGGTGATATTTTTCCCATTAGCGTGAATGTCACCAAAGAGGTTGCCACTGGCCTGTTCCCAACAGGTTGTGATTGCCCTTTCATTTGTAGCCACAGTCACTGTTTGAGAAGCCGGTGGTGTGCTTTGATAAGCTGCCTTTAAGACCCCACTTCAAAGCATCCTGATTGTGGGCTGCCAGGTGGACCACTGGTATTTCCAGGGCCTCACAGCTCTCCTGCCTCTTTGAAGCTGAGGCTATTGCACTGCACAGCTAAGTACAAACGTTTCTGTCCTCAAGGTCCATAGCTGTCATGGTTATGCAGTCACCAGAAAGTCTCAAAAAGGCCATTCATTATCCACCCTTGACTGTGACCTAGAGGTCAGCCCTTCACCATCTCTCCTCACATTGCTGTCCCCAAGTAAGGTATTGTCCTCACCTTGATTTTTACCAACCTTGGCATTTATGACGCCAAGTCTGGGGTTTCCTGGTCATGAGTGCATCCCATAAACCATGGAGCTGAGAGAATCTGCACAGAATGGTGAAGGCACAGATGTGGTAGTTCCCCCACCCCCTTTTATGAGGCAATGGACAAGTACAGCAGAGCCTTAATGGGATTGCTAAAGAAAAAAAATTCTTCTATAAAAATTTAATTATCCACAATTGCTTAGAGTTAAAAAAGAAGATTCTGTGCAAAAGAAATATAAAAACACTAGACACCGTTTATCCTCTGGTTTACAGCCTGCAAGCCGCAGATCTTGCACACACGTGTGGGGCTGGATCAAGGAGAACATTAACGGCAATGGCGAGTCTGAGGGGCTGACTTTGATGAGAAAAGGACAGATTTCACAGAGGTTGAAAAAAATGGTTAACATTCAAGTAATTATTCTGAGCTCTGATAAACAGCAAAGAAGGTTCTTTCCCGGCTACCTACCCCTGTACTTGTTAAATAACCACTATGCTCTTCTCTGTGGGATTTATGTGGGTTTTTTTTTCCTCTCAAAACAGTTGAGCAACGCCATGCATGCAAGGCATCCAAAATATCGCCCACCAGGAGATCTCAGCCTAGCAGATAGATAGGAGTGTGGGTGTGTGCCTGGGAGTAATCCCACCACCTCCCCAGATTCGCGCGTTCTGCTGGCACGAGCCCCTTTCTCTTTAAATTGTATGTTTGTTTTTATGTGTTGGCTTTTATGCTTGGTAAGTTATAACCCTGTTGGGGCAGACCCTAAACCCTGTTTTAAAAAAAAAATCAAATTACTTTATACCCTGAGTGTGTTCTGCAAATAAAATCGATAAACAGAAGCTTCCTCCGGATTTATGAAGGCTTAGGACGCAGGCACTGAGAGCTACAAACTGTTTCAGACAGTGGACACACAAGCTCTGGTTAATCTTTCCCAGTGAATGTTTTTCATTAGAAATGCCTCCAAATGATTTATCACATAATTACACTTTATACAGCACCATCTTTTTCATAACTACAGATGATAGTCCTGCTGGCCAGTTCTCTCCCTTTGTAACCCATGTCTCAGTCAATGCCCAGCAGCAACAGTACTGATTCTCTCCGAGTGTACAGTGGTCAATCTTGACTGTCGACTTGATTTAGAATCACCTTGGAGATACACCCTAAAGGGAGGTCTGAGGGTGTTTTCAGAGAAAGTTAACCGAGGAGGAGGGAAGACTCCCTGAAGGGGCTGGGCTTTCACTCTGAACACAAAGGAGGAAGCTGGCTGAGCAGAGACAACCATCTTCTTCTGCTTCCTGACCATGGGTGCAATGTGAGCAACCACCTACCTCCTGCTTCCTCCGCCATGATGAACTGCATCCGCAAACTACCAACCCCAATAAACCCTCTCTCTCTGAGTCGCTTCCTGCCAGGTATTTATTTGGTCCTGGCAATAAGAAAAGTGACTAATGCAGTGTTCGCATTACTGAGTTGTTGTTCATTTGGATCTGCAGATGCCACTAACAAAACGCCTGTGCGCCTCTTCTCTGTCCCACTTTCCAACTGTCTCTTGACACACAGGGCTGTGTCCTTAGGATTCTTGACTCTTTTTCCTCTGCCTCATCATCCCTTGCTTGTTCATGCTTACCAGTAGGTATGAGAGAATAAAGCTGCTTCCCTTAGTGGGGTGGGGATGAGAAGGAAGTGGAAGAGAAGGAGGAAGAGGAGGAGAGGGGTAGTTGATTCATAGTATTGGATTCCAGAGAAGGGGGGAATAATTTTTCTTCATTCTGTCTTTTCCTTTACCCCCCATTCCACTAAGACATGTAAAGATATAAATAACCAAAAATATGTTTCCATAACTGTTAATTTGCTGAAATAAAGTCATCAAAAGTAAGTTTGCAGAGTAATAAGTCTATCCACTATTTACTTATATCCTTAGTCTCCCTACAACAAACAATTCTAGCAATTTTCATTGAATTTTTACTAGGATGTAACCAGTGAGCTGGATGCCCTCTGGTGGAAAAGGTACCATTTAGATATGGGGGCAATTTTCCCTCATCCATGATGGTGGCTTTATTTTTCTTACAAAGCTATAATTTATTGTGTGCTAGATTTACATTTAAATTTATTTCTTTGAGTGTTGTGAACATTTTAGTCATATAATGAATGTT